TATTAACTAGGGCTGGGCGGTTTCGTTTCGTTAATTCGTAATTCGTTAATAATTCGTTAATTTTTTCAATTACAAAACGATAACGAACCATTCTGGAGCAATTATTTAAAAAAACGAATTTTCAAAAACATTTTGTAAATGCTTCGTATTTTGATATTGTATTCGTTTCGTTATTGTTTTGAGGTCGTTTCATTATTATTTCCGCATGTCTGGGCCAGTTTTATGGTTTAATTAGTGAAAAAAAATTATAATATCACACCAACAGTCAACAACAGAGGGAGAGGGAAGCTTCAGAAGGTTTCGGAGGTTTTTTAGCGTATTTCGCGGTCGCGTCCGCCATTAACGAATTGATTCGTAATTGTTTCGGAAATCGATTCGTTATTTTTTTACCATTTACGAAATTTCGTAAATATCGAAACAAAAAACCCCCCAAATACAAATCGATTTTAGAAACAAATTTTTCCATTGTTACCCAGGCCTAGTATTAACTCATACACTCTGGACCGCGCTCTGACCTACAAGAAGCACTGCCTGAACATCAAGCAAAAAGTGGGTGCTAGAAACAGTATCATACGAAAGCTGACTGGCACAACCTGGGGATCACAACCAGACACAGTGAAGACATTTGCCCTTGCGCTATGCTACTCTGCTGATGAGTACGCATGCCCAGTGTGCAACACATCTCACCACAAAAACAGTGGATGTGGCTCTTAATGAGACATGCCGCATTATCACGGGGTGTCTGCGCCCTACACCACTGGAGAAATTACACTGCTTAGCCGGTATTGCACCACCTGACATCCGCCGGGAAGTAGCATCCAATAGTGAAAGGACCAAGGCAGAGACATCTCCAGCTCATCCCCTGTTTGGGTATCAGCCAGCACGTCAACGACTTAAATCAAGAAATAGTTTTCTAAGATCTACAGAGACACTCGCTGGCACACCTCAGCAAGCGAGAGTCCAAAAGTGGCAGGCTCAAACCCAGAACCTCAACCAATGGCTGATACCAAATGAGAGACTCCCCCCTGGGCACACAGAAGACTGGGCTACTTGGAAGGCGCTGAACAGACTGCGCTCTGGCACCACGAGATGCAGAGCCAACCTTAAGAAATGGGGCTACAAAGTTGAATCCACGACATGCGAGTGTGGAGAAGAGCAAACCACTGACCACCTGCTGCAATGCAACTGAGCCCTGCCACATGCACAATGGAGGACCTTCTTGCAGCAACACCAGAGGTACTCCAAGTGGCCAGATACTGGTCAAAGGACATTTAATCAACTACCAAGTTTGGAAACTTTGTGTTTTTTTAAAAAAATCTGTTTGTTTGTTTTGTTCTGTTAGAAATTTAATACAATGGTCTGGTTGCCCCTGACACGATAAATAAATACCAGATTATCTGTTTTTTATTTAGGTATGCAATGCTGATATGACAAAGGCAAAAATAAATTTCCTGTGCCAATTGAAGGAGAGGGGAGAGGGAGAGGGAGAAAGAGAGGGGGACTGGTCTTCTTCTCTTCTAACAATAAATGTGACTCCCCTGGACCTGATGGGAAAATACATAACATTGTTATAATATGAATAATTTGGAAGCCGGTGTTTATGATTACTCATTTATTTGCATTAGATTCTTCGACCCAGCTGTTTCTCTGTTCTTTGTACATTCACAAGAGACTTAAAACATATTAGTTAAATGCATTGGGAAGCTAATGATTACTTTCACCAAGCAAAGTGATCCCCCCTCCCTCCGAATTCCCATCCAGGGACATTACTGATAATTTATGTTAACAGAAAAGATTTACATTCATCACACACACAGCATGTGCTCACTGTTTGGAATCCCAATTAAGGTTGACATTTGCAGACAAGCTTGTGTAGGTGTGTACTCATATAAGTCAATATTAGCCACAAGTGAAAAATAGGGGGAGAATATAGCTTCTTAACTCTAACATGGCATTAGACAAAAGCCTTCCTTTGATTAGATCACTGTTTCCCAGGATTCTGATAGTTGAGACACATTATTTTTTACTGAAATAAAACTGAAGACACGGTTCATTCCCACACCCGCAAGCTCTACTTTGTGACAGTAAGGGCATCTACGGATCTTAAAATGAAGAATGAAATGATGTTATTAAATTTCTTAATCTACCCAACTGTAAATATAAAATAATTACATTTTAGAAGCCATGATGAGTATATTCAGAATTGAACAAGTTTTCACAATCTTTCTCAGCAAGGATTCAGAGCAAAGTCATTCGTTCTTTAGGAGTTCGCTTTTAACTTGTAATCATTTTTTTTATTTGGCAGAGAGGGGAATAACCAACCCCCTTCTTTCTCAGTTAAGAGAACTGATCCAAGAAATGAATTTTTTATTTTCTTTTTGTAGCTATCAAACAAATTCTCAGTTTTCAATGAGATTACAAGTAATTCTCAAAAATTAATCTTCCCTTTTCACTTCCATCTATATATTTACTGGAGTTGATAATAGTTCTAGTTCATGGGTCCTCAAACTAAGGCCTGAGGGCCGGATACGGCCCTCCAAGGTCATTTACCTGGCTCTCGCTCAGGGTTAACCTAAGTCTGAAATGACTTGAAAGAACACAACAATAACAACAATCCTATCTCCAAGCAACAGATCTCAAAGAAAATTGGATCAAAGTTGCACATAGATGGTACATGACACCCCAGAAACTTGGAAAATGTTATAAAAATATAAATACTAAATGCTGGAAATGCGGAAAGATAGAAGGGGTGTACCAAGGCCAAGACATATTGGAGAAAAATACAGAAGACACTACAAGAAATATTAAATATAAGAATTCCATTTGAACCAGAAATATTCCTATTAGGAATAACAGACCAAGAAATAGAAAAGAATACAGATAAAATACTCTTTCTGTTAAATACAGCAGTGAGAATTTGTTATGCGAAACTATGGAAAAAAGAAGACATACCAGAAATTAGCGATTGGATAAAAAATGTGGTAGATATCAAAAACATGGACAGGTTAACATATTTAATAACAAAAAAATAAAGGGACCCCAATAAAAGAGACCGACTGGACAAAGGTAACAAACTACCTAAAACAGAGAAATGGATACACAATAATATGAAGGGAAGAGAAAACAAGACTGAAGAATGAGAGGAGAAGAAAGAAAGAAGAGGAAAAACCACCAGAAAGATACTCAGGAAGTCAACAAAGGAGCCATAACAATCTGCTCCTATTTTTAGCTCTACTTTTTTTTCTTTTTTTTTCTTTTTGTATTTGCCTTTTTCCTATTTTCATTTCTTATTTGTTTTTGCACTATTCTTTGCACTATTTTTTCTCTGCACAAAATGGAAAAAAATCTGTTTTTCAATAAAGATGATTATAAAAAAAAACCAATCCTATCTCATCAACCAAAAGCAGGTCCACACTTCCCATTGAAATACTTATAAGCTTATATTTGTTAAAATTGTTCGTCTTTTTCATTATTGTATTGTTTTAAAGTGTTTTTTGCACTACAAATAAGAAATGTGCAGTGTGTATAGGAATTCATTCATGTTTTTTTTTTCAAATTATAATCCAGCCCTCCAACAGTTTGAGGGACTGTGACCTGGCCCTCAGTTTAAAATGTTTGTGGACCCCTGTTCTAGTTCAATTAAACCTAGGCAAAAATTCACTTTTTAAAATCATGATCCATTAGAATTCTGGCACAGTGAAAAGTCCTAGCAATGTACTTACAGTGTGTATGTGCATAATACTTATTAATATTTACAGTCTTAGTGAACAAAGAGGGTCCTGCTGAGGAGAAGAACAGCACCAAGATGTTTTGCATTGTATTTAGGAAAATTTGCTGCCATATAATAGTTTTTCTTAGTTTCAAGTGGGGGAGAAAAAGTGGGTTTTGCATGAAACAATGTTTTTACAGTGGAGGCTGTATTTGGCAGAGATTAAAGTGCAGAAATACAGTTGGCCCTCCATATCCACGGATTCTGCATTCATTGATTCAATTGTCTACAGCAGGGGTCCTCAAACTTTTTAAACAGAGGGCCAGATCACAGTCCCTAAAACTGTTGGAGGGCCGGATTATAATTTGAAGAAAACATGAATGAATTCCTATGCACACTGCACATATCTTATTTGTAATGCAAAAAAAAAAAACCCACTTAAAAACAATACAATAATTAAAATGAAGAACAATGTAAAAATATAAACTTATTAGTTTTCAATGGGAAGTGTGGGCCTGCTTTTGGATGATGAGATAGGATTGTTGTTGTTGTTGTTGTTGTTGTTGTTGTTGTTGTGTGCTTTCAAGTAGTTTCAGACATAGGATGACCTTGAACGAGGTCCGGGTAAATGACCTTGGAGGGCCGCATCCGGCCCCCGGGCCTTAGTTTGAGGACCCCTGGTCTACAGCTTGGAAATATTAAAAAATCCAAAAAGCAAACCTTGATTTTGCCATTTTACATAAGAGGTTTTACTATGACATTATATGTTATGTGACTTGATTATCTATGATTTTCCTGTAGACAAATTATGGTTTGTGATGTATAACTTTTATTTTGAGCAAGAGACAGTACAGTAAGCCTTTGGGGTTGGTTCCAAGAGTCCCCATTGATACCAAAATCTATGGATGCTCAGAGAAGAAATTCAAGGAAATGTTGCTTTTTGTGAAAGTTGTTAGTACTGAGAATATTGTACACCTAAAATAGACAAAAATTAGAGAGACTGATTTTGTATATCATATGTGTGATAAACTATTTTATCTCCAATAAAAGTAAATGTTAATTTGGAATATCCACACTCTGGAATAATATATGTGAAATCATTATGGGACTCTTCAATAACTGCTGTGTTGGAGTAAGAAAAAAAACTCTGTTCAGACATTGAGACGTTTTAAAGAAAAGTGCACAACTTTGGCATGGAGCCAAGGATGGGCTTAAAAGTTTTACGAGGACTGTGAAATATTTGCATTCCACTTTTTAAAAAAATTAATAATTTTGTCTGCTCTTTTTACAGGCAAAGAAGGGGAACTATGCATTCTTATGGGATGTTGCAGTAGTGGAATATGCAGCATTGACAGATGATGAATGTTCTGTGACAGTCATCGGAAACAGCATCAGTAGCAAAGGATATGGGATAGCACTCCAGCATGGCAGTCCATACAGGGATCTCTTCTCCCAAAGGTAAAAGAAAACAGGTGTTCTTTCAATTACTTCCAAGGATCCTGATCATTGGTTTTTAGAGTCTTACACATCAGATGTTCAGTTGTTAATTGCTTGCATAGTAATATGTTTATCATTTTGTCTCTTCTTAGACAAGTCTCTACACTACAACACTTTAGGAAAGAGTTGAAAACATGGTTTTTCCAGCAGGCATTTGATAATGTTTAGAAAGTAACCAGAACTGATTGCCAGTCACTTAGCACTTTATATCTACATTCTGTGCATTCAGTTGGTCTGCTATATTTATTACATTGATCTTTTAACTGATTCTATTTTTAGTAGAGGTTGTTTTATCCAATGTATATACCTGGACTATGCAATGTATTATTCTTTTCATGTTGATGTATTTTATTTTATTGTATTTTATGTATTGTGTAATTTATGTACGGCATCTTTGTGTGCTCTTTCGTAAGCTTCCCTGAGTCCCTATGGTAGATAGTGGTAATAAATGAAGTTTTATTACCTATGGATGTGAGAGCTGGACCATAGGGAAGGCTGAGCGAAGGAAGATATATGCTTTTGAACTGTGGTGTTGGAGGAAAGTTCTGGGAGTGCTTTGGACCATGAGAAGATCCAACTAGTCCATACTTCAGGAAATAAAGCCCGACTGCTCATTGGAGAGAATAATAATAATAATAATAATATAATAATAATAATAATAATAATAATCCTTTACATCAATAAACAACAACAAACAATATATCAATAAATAACTCAAGCAATAGACATTGACAATGACAACACAACACAATTAAAATCAGTGTCAGGGCCAGTTGTAATGGATTAAAACATTTAAAAACTGGGCATGACCGGGTGAAATGGGTAGGTATATTTGGAGAAAGACAGGGCGTGCAGACAATCCTAGATTTCTAGTAAAGTGCATTTGGGACAAAGTGCTTTGGGTTTCCTAATCTGGAAAAGATAGTAGAGGCAAAGATGAAGTACTTTGGCCACATCATGAGAAGAAAGGAAAACTTAGAGAAGAGAATTATACTGAAGAAAATGGAAAGAAAAGGGAAGAGGCGCCAACCAAGGGCAAGATGGATGGATGGTATCCTTGAAGTGATTGGCTTGACTTTGAAGGAGCTGGGGGAGATGGCAGCCGACAGGGCACTCTGGCATGGGCTGGTCCATGAAGCGACCGAATAAATGAACAACAACAACAATTAATATTATTATTTTTCTTCAAGGTTAGGATGTAGTGCATTCTATTTGGTAATTCAGGTGGATGGGGAAGCAGAGATAGACATTTCTTCATGGACTCAGTTGCAGTTTAACTTTTTCCCATTTGTGTTGGTTCAGGGGTGCAAAAGAACCATGCATTGGTGAAAATGAATGGTGGTGATATAGTGAAAACTTTCAAAAGAGAATAAAGAAAATCTAATTATTTCGTCAAGACTACACAATTAACAGCAAATAACACTTTCAAACTAGGAACATGCTTTCTTTATTGTTGTTATTATTTTACTGACACAAAAACACAGTATGTCACAGCAAATGAGATCTATATGCTGGATTTCGTATCACAAAATCACAAGTCGAACACTTCGTTGATTATTATTATTATTATTATTATTATTATTATTATTATTATTAAACAGGAAATAATACTATCAAACTAGGAACATATTTTTATTGTTAAAAGTGTTGTTTATAAAAATTCTCACACATTTTTCAGTGATTTTTCACATCTTGGTATGCTTTGGGGAAAGAAATATTGACACAAAAAGTGGACTGTCATCTTCTTGAGATCACAATTCACTTTACAAAATTCTAAGTTTTTGCCATTTTTCCACAAAATAATTTTTTACAAAAGAAGGCCAAAAATGTGAAAAGCCTTGCAAGGTTTTCTTAGTAGGATATTGGGAAGAACCAATAAAATTTAAAAGTCTTTATGTCGTCATCCTTATCTATGTTGTGCCAAATCTTGTGCATTTTCCTGAATGGTTTCAACACAATTTTAATTTCATTTTATATTACTGCTTTCTGAGTCTGATGTGATTAGTATAAACCTTAGCAGAACTTTTCAGAGCTCATGTGTTATTTATTGTGAAATGGGCATAAACTTTGGTAAAACAATACATACTAATTATCAATATTAAGGTTTCAGTTATAAATTTCTTCTCTTTAAGATTTCCTAATGGAAAAATAATGCCTTTCCTCCCTTAAATCATTTATGCAGGATCTTAGAACTACAAGAAGCAGGATACTTGGATGTATTTAAAGAAAAATGGTGGCCTCGGATGGGACGATGCGACTTGAACAGCCATACCAATGCACAGACAGATGGGAAAGCTTTGAAGCTTCACAGTTTTGCAGGGGTCTTCTGCATTTTGGCAGTAGGCCTGCTCCTGGCCTGTTTGGTGGCAGCCCTGGAGTTGTGGTGGAGCAGCAACCGTTGTCATCAAGAAACACCAAAAGAGGTCCATAACTTTTATTCTTATCACAATTAGGGGTAGAAAGTGTAAAATCACACAGAGGGGGGAAGGAGAGGAAATTGAAGATATGGAATTTCTTAAGTGCTTTCTCCCAACTCAGCTCACTAGTCTATGAATGGAGATAACTGCATTTAAATACAGTTTTTAAATATATATATCATATGTATTCCCTAATGTTTGTGTTTTATGGGAGGTACCAAAATGACAGCTCCGGCAACTAAAGTCCTGTATTTATTTATAGAGCAGATACAGCCTGGGCAGCAGCAGCACTGCAAATATCCCCACATTGCCCCACCATTGTGCCTCAACTTTGCCATGGAGAGACCATCTTTAGGGGTAAGAGAGTAGCTCAGGGACCATGCCTTTGGCCCCTCTGTTAAGAATCACAGACAAGGATGTTTAGAGCTGCCTTAAATTCACATAATCAGCATTCCTATTTTCTTTAAAAAAAACAAATCTATGCCTAGGTCAGATTTGTCTGCTGGCCAACTGGGGAACTGCCGAGTTGGTGCCAAATGCCAGTGTCACATAGCTTTCTAAAACATCATCTTTTGTTTTTTTCCCCCAACTCTGGACTATTTTTTTCTTTTTCTTTTTTCATTTCTGGGTTCGTGTTACAGTGTCCAATTAGCAATGCAAAAAGATATTCTCCTCTGTATTCCCAGAGAACGGTCTTTTAAGGCTATTTGCTTCACACAATATTGGGTGAAGTATTCTGTTGACATGGATTTTGAGTACCACCTTATATGGGCCAGAGACACACAAGTGTTCCCCTTCCCTTCATTTTTTGACATTTCACCCTATGTATACATGTATAAGTCAAGAAATTTTAGTCAAAAAATCAATCCAAAATCCCAGATTGACCTATCTAATATCCACAAGTCAGAATGAGTATGAAAAGTTTATCAAAAAAGGAACTATCCACTTACTTGAGTAGAGATGCAAAGGCCAATAATTTAGTCCATCCCCAGAGAAACTAAAAGAAGCAACAACCCCCTCTACTCTCACTCCCATTTTTGAATGTCTTGGTGAGAGAATACTGGTGACTTCCAGGGTCAGCTGACCGGCTGAGGTGGCATGGAACTTTTCCCTCCACACAGAATCGTCCTCAACATAACTATGGATCATATAAAAATCCATAATTTTGGCCCCAAATTCTGACCTCAATTTATATATGAAGTCAAGTTGAACATAAGTATATATGGTAATTCAGATACCTACCCACAAGTAATTTACCAAATTGAAAACTGTACATACAGCAGTGTAAAACAATTTGTGGCCCTTCAGACATTGTTGGACCCAACTTCTTTCTTCTCTAGCCAGCATACCCCTTGTGAAGGCTCATGTGTTATTTGGAGTTATTGGACTATAACTGGAGTTATAGTCCAATAAACTTTGAAGAGCACTCTACATGAACTCATATTGTATGTCTGCCAAGAGCTTTATGAGCAATATTTGCAGTTCTAAGTAGGCAATAAGAAGATGAGGTTGTTGGACCTTTACATGTGATTGGTAAGCTGTGTTCCCCTTCATAAATGTTCTGTAAACCTTTAACTCCCTCCATTTTTAGGGGAAGTGCATGCTGTTTAAAACAAGGGTAGCATGTTATTGGATTTCAGCTTCTATTCCTCACTATTTACTTTGATGACTAGTATTGATAGGAGAATATGAATGAAAAAACACAAAACAGTTTTAAAAAGGATTCAAAAATATGTTTTTCAACATGTGCTGAGACACCTGGACAAGAATAATCCCGGACTGATGAAAATATTTACAGCTTGTGACTTTTTGTGTCAAAAAGTCCCAAATTATAAATGTTTTCATCAGTTCATGTTTGCATGTGGTTGTTTTGTGCAGAAAATACAATTTTCTGTGTAGGAAATGGAATTTTCTGCATGGAAAATAATATTTCAATGAAGAAATATAATTTCCTGCTCAGATAATGATGTTTGCTGTGCAGACAATGGTACTTTCTATGCAAATCATCAACTATAAACAAATTGTATATAGGAAAAATCCCCAATTAGAATCTTTTCTGCACACAATATCATTTCTTACACAGAAAGTACTATTTTCTGTGCAAACCAACCATCTGTGACTTTTGTATGGAATAAGTCTGAATTGTATATACCATTTTTTTTAAAAAAAGTGTGGCTTTCAAATACATTGGCTGAATCTACACTGACCTGTTATCCCAAGGGGAAGGGAATGAATCATCTCCAAGGCAGATGCATGATGCACAATGTTGAATCAAAGTCCTAGATTGCCCCAAGTTCTCCCAAAAAATCTGGAGCAATCCTTAATTTTGGCTCATGTAAGCAGTTGTCAGTTCTGGGGTGGAACCAGCTGCAACTGTTAACAAAGCTGTCTTGTATTACTTGGAATCTATTGGCGTGGGGTCACAGGTTATCACTTACTGATTGCCTTCCATTCTTACCAACAGGCAAGGCAGGGCTAGTGTCCATTGTTTATCTAATGAAGAAGCATCCAAAGGAGTGCAATTAGAGAAGAGAGGAGGAAAAGGAGGGGTGATTCCTCTTCTCTATTCTATGTCACTGGTGCTTCAACTAGCATCACTGAGCAATGAACAGTAGTCATGTCATACCAATTTATTTTTATTTTATTTATTTATTATTCGAACTTATATGCCACCACTCCCCTGGGGCTCGGAGCGGCTTACAAGAATGGCTAAAATCTAACACAATTTAAAAACAATTTAAAACAATTTAAAAACAGCGATATCAGGGCATGTATGTCTTACATGCCCTGCGGAAAGCTGATAAGTCAGGTGGCAGAGTATTCCAGAGTGATAGTGCCACTGCTGTAAAGGCTCTGCGTCTGGTTGCTGTTAGACACAAGGTCTTGGCACTGGGAATTTCCAATAAATCTTGGTCCTCAGAATGGAGGGATCTCTGGGGTTGGTAGGGGGTGAGGCGGTCCCTCAGGTACATTGGCCCCAAACCATGCAAGGCCTTAAAGGTGAGTACCATCACTTTGAAAGTGATCCGGTGCTCAATTGGTAACCAATGCAGCTGTAGTAAGATTGGTGTTATGTGGCATCTCATTGGAATTCCCGCAAGAAGCTGAGCAGCTGCATTTTGTACCAACTTGAGCTTCCGGATCACCGACAGAGGAAGGCCAATGTAGAGGGCGTTACAGTAGTCCAGTCTTGAGATGATGGGAATGGGAAGGGGGCAGTAAAGATCAGTATCTGGTGATGCCTAGTTGAGTTCAGTGACACTGGACAGTCAAAACTCCATTCAGCCTCCTCAGAATTCAGGGTGCTGATGGTCAAACTATCCCGGGGCTGAGCTGGCTTTCAACAAGCTGCATCATTGTAGAGCTGTCACAGCAGGGAGAAAACAGCTGAAATTGCTGTTTGCAATAACTGACAAGAAACCCATCAAATAATTTCATCCCTATAGGAGATTCAGCCCACAAACATTTGAAAGGACACAGGTTGATGACTCCTAGTTTAAAAGGAACCTCTTGAAATATTTGTTTATAAAACTGAAAATAAATGGAAATTTTCCAGTTTACTTTCATCTACCATAGAGATACTGTTATATCCCATGTTGCCAGTTACTAGTACTTTGAGAATAATATAGTCAGGGAGAGATTGCTAAAATTTATATGAAAATAGAACAGCAAAGAAAAGACAACAGCCAAGTCCTCATTTGCTCATTTCTTTGAGGAAGATACAATTCCTTTACAAAGAAAGGATGGGAGCTATACATATATAAGGCAAGTGCTCTTACAGAAATTGGTAGTGCTGTTTTCCTTTGTGTAGACATATGAGTGAATCTTTGTTCAATTCATTAACAAAACAGTAAGTCATTCAGACACATGAGTGGTTGATGACCTTCCCTTGCACCCTATCTTCTCTTTTTCTAAAAATAATACTCTTCAGCATTAAAAGTGTGACTTTTAGTTAAACATATGAACAATATGAAGTTGCCTGCTTTCAAAGGCTTTCCTCACACCTATTTCAAAGCATTAATCTTGCAAGAAAGTCAACATCTGCTTGCATCAATTAAAATCTTTAACAGCTTTACCTTTCAGGTAGGCTTTGAGACATCAGGGTACTTGAACTTTCTTTTATCTTGAACAGATGTTTTGTACCAGAGATGTAAAGCAGCAGCCACACCTAGCAGGGCTAAAACATAAACCTATCGCATCTTTCTTTCTTTCTTTAGTTGCCAAGAGGATGCTTAGCATATATGAGAATAAGCATGACATAGTTCTCGTTCAAAGAGATTGCATTATATTATTTTTCCAACTTTTGTAATTTTTTAAAAAGCATTTATTCACAACTAGTCATCCCCTGCCACGCGTTGCTGTGACCCACATGGCTTTTCTGTGTAGGAGATTTGGGCCAATTCTAACGTTGGTGGGGTTCAGAATGCTCTGTGATTGTAGGTGAACTATAAATCCCAACAACTACAACTCCCAATTGTCAAGATTCTATTTTCCCCAAACTCCACCAGTGTTCACATTTGGGCATATTGAGTATTCGTGTAGAGTTTGGTCCAGATCAATCATTGTTTGAGTCCACAGTGATCTCTGGATGTAGGTGAACTACAACTCCAAAACCAAAGGACACTGCCCACCAAACCCTTCCAGTATTTTCTGTTGGTCATGGGAGAACGGTGTACCAAGTTTGCCCCAGTTCTGTCGTTGGTGCGGTTCAGAATGCTCTGATTGTAGGTGAACTATAAATCCCAGCAACTATAACTCCCAAATGACAAAATCAATTTTTTTGAGTGAAGGACATATATTGGGTTGTTAGGTGTCTTCTGTCCAAATTTGGTGTCAATTCCCCCAGTGGTTTTTGAGTTCTGTGAATACCACAAACGAAAGTAGTACATAAGATAGGAGTATTTTTAAGAGTTTGAATCATATACTAGGAATCCGAAGCCCTTTCTACACTGTCATATAAAATCCAGATTATCTGCTTTGAACTGAAATATATGGCAGTCTAGACTCATATAATCCAGTTCAAAGCAAATAATGTAGATTATCTGCTTTGGTAATCTGGAATATATATCAGTGTGAAAGGGGCCTGAGAGAGCAGAGTTTGACTCCCCGCTGAACCATGGAAACCACTCTTTCTGTCTTAGAAGAAGGCAGTGGCAACCCTTCTCTAAATAAATCTTTTCCAGAAACCTTTATGCTAGGACGGAGTTGGTTTGAGTCAGGTCACAGCAACAACAGAAGCAACAACAACTGTATAGAAACAATCAGAGAATGAGCAAGGGAAGGTGAAAGATTACTCTTCATCTTTAGCTTTATACTCATCTATGTCTCCTATTTATCTGTTCTGCTTTTCCTCCAGA